CCGAAAAAAAATTTCAAAAAATTGAAAAACCGGAAAATCTAAAAACGAGAAGACAAAAATTGAAAGATTGATATATCGAAGCAACAAAGCTAAAAAAAAAATCTAAAATTTAAAAATTTGAAAAATTAAAAATTTAAAAAATCGAGAAATTAAAACAACGAATCTAAAAATCAAAAAATTGTAAAATCGAAAAGTGTAAGATTTAAAAAACCGCAAAATTTTGAAAAATCTAATAAACAATAAAAAAAACGGAATGTCAAAAAATCTAAAAATATAAAAATCGAAATACGTAAACATTGAAAATTTGAAAATCGAAAAATTAGGAAATCGAGAAATCGGAAAGACGAAAAATCGAAAATCGAAAATTAAAAAATCCATTAATGGAGATATTGAGAAATCGAAAAATCCAAAAATTTAGAAACGCCAAAAATTGAAAAATTGAAAAATCGAAAAATTGGAAAATCGAGAAATCGAAGACGAAAAATCGGAAATCAAAAAATTTAAAAATCCGTTAATCGAGAAATTGAAAAATCGAAAAATCCAAAAATTTAGAATGATCAAAAACTGAAACATTGAAAACTTGGAAAATCGAAAAATCGAAGATTCATCTTGAAAAACTGAGAAATCGAGAATTTGAAATCGAAAAATTCAAACATCAGAAGATTGAGAAGTCGAAAAGTCGAAAAATCGAAAAATTGAGAAATGGAAGTGGCTAAAGATCGAAACATTAAAAATTGTGTATTGCAAAATTTTAACTTAAAAAAACCGATAAACCAAAATGTAGAATATCGAGAAACTGAAAAATAAAGTCCGAAAAATTGAAAAACCGGAAAATCTAAAAATGGGAAGCCAAAAATGGAAAGATTGAGAAATCGAAGCAACAAAGAAGTGAAAAATCTAAAATTTAAAAATTCGAAAAATTGAAAATTAAAAAAATCGAGAAGTTAAAACACCAACGCATCGAAAAATCAAAAAATTGATGAATCTAAAAGTGTAATATTTAAAAAATCGCAAAATGTTTAAAATTTGAATAATTAAACAATCAAAAAAACATAAAGTCGAAAAATTAAAAAATCCATTAATCGAGAGATTGAGAAATCGAAAAATCCAAAAATTTAGAAACGCAAAAATTGAAAAATTGAAAAATCGAAAAATTGGGAAATCGAGAAATCGAAGACGAAAAATCGGAAATCAAAAAATTTAAAAATCCGTTAATCGAGAAATTGAAAAATCGAGAAATCCAAAAATTTAGAATGATCAAAAACTGAAACATTGAAAACTTGGAAAATCGAAAAATCGAAAAGATTCATCTTGAAAAACTGAGAAATCGAGAAGTTGAAATCGAAAAATTCAAACATCAGAAGATTGAGAAGTCGAAAAGTCGAAAAATCGAAAAATTGAGAAATGGAAGTGGCTAAAGATCGAAACATTGAAAATTCTGTATTGCAAAATTTTAACTTAAAAAAAAACGATAAACCAAAATGTAGAATATCGAGAAACTGAAAAATAAAGTCCAAAAATTGAAAAACCGGAAAATCTAAAAATGGGAAGCCAAAAATGGAAAGATTGAGAAATCGAAGCAACAAAGAAGTGAAAAATCTAAAATTTAAAAATTCGAAAAATTGAAAATTAAAAAAATCGAGAAGTTAAAACACCAACGCATCGAAAAATCAAAAAATTGATGAATCTAAAAGTGTAATATTTAAAAAATCGCAAAATGTTTAAAATTTGAATAATTAAACAATCAAAAAAACATAAAGTCGAAAAATTAAAAAATCCATTAATCGAGAGATTGAGAAATCGAAAAATCCAAAAATTTAGAAACGCAAAAATTGAAAAATTGAAAAATCGAAAAATTGGGAAATCGAGAAATCGAAGACGAAAAATCGGAAATCAAAAAATTTAAAAATCCGTTAATCGAGAAATTGAAAAATCGAAAAATCCAAAAATTTAGAATGATCAAAAACTGAAACATTGAAAACTTGGAAAATCGAAAAATCGAAAAGATTCATCTTGAAAAACTGAGAAATCGAGAAGTTGAAATCGAAAAATTCAAACATCAGAAGATTGAGAAGTCGAAAAGTCGAAAAATCGAAAAATTGAGAAATGGAAGTGGCTAAAGATCGAAACATTGAAAATTCTGTATTTCAAAATTTTAACTTAAAAAAAAACGATAAACCAAAATGTAGAATATCGAGAAACTGAAAAATAAAGTCCAAAAATTGAAAAACCGGAAAATCTAAAAATGGGAAGCCAAAAATGGAAAGATTGAGAAATCGAAGCAACAAAGAAGTGAAAAATCTAAAATTTAAAAATTCGAAAAATTGAAAATTAAAAAAATCGAGAAGTTAAAACACCAACGCATCGAAAAATCAAAAAATTGATAAATCTAAAAGTGTAATATTTAAAAAATCGCAAAATGTTTAAAATTTGAATAATTAAACAATCAAAAAAACATAAAGTCGAAAAATTAAAAAATCCATTAATCGAGAGATTGAGAAATCGAAAAATCCAAAAATTTAGAGACGCAAAAATTGAAAAATTGAAAAATCGAAAAATTGGGAAATCGAGAAATCGAAGACGAAAAATCGGAAATCAAAAAATTTAAAAATCCGTTAATCGAGAAATTGAAAAATCGAAAAATCCAAAAATTTAGAATGATCAAAAACTGAAACATTGAAAACTTGGAAAATCGAAAAATCGAAGATTCATCTTGAAAAACTGAGAAATCGAGAAGTTGAAATCGAAAAATTCAAACATCAGAAGATTGAGAAGTCGAAAAGTCGAAAAATCGAAAAATTGAGAAATGGAAGTGGCTAAAGATCGAAACATTGAAAATTGTGTATTGCAAAATTTTAACTTAATAAAACCGATAAACCAAAATGTAGAATATCGAGAAGCTGAAAAATAAAGTCCGAAAAACTGAAAAACCGGAAAATCTAAAAATGGGAAGCCAAAAATGGAAAGATTGAGAAATCGAAGCAACAAAGAAGTGAAAAATCTAAAATTTAAAAATTCGAAAAATTGAAAATTAAAAAAATCGAGAAGTTCAAACACCAACGCATCGAAAAATCAAAAAATTGATAAATCTAAAAGTGTAATATTTAAAAAATCGCAAAATGTTTAAAATTTGAATAATTAAACAATCAAAAAAACATAAAGTCGAAAAATTAAAAATCCATTAATCGAGAGATTGAGAAATCGAAAAATCCAAAAATTTAGAAACGCAAAAATTGAAAAATTGAAAAATCGAAAAATTGGGAAATCGAGAAATCGAAGACGAAAAATCGGAAATCAAAAAATTTAAAAATCCGTTAATCGAGAAATTGAAAAATCGAAAAATCCAAAAATTTAGAATGATCAAAAACTGAAACATTGAAAACTTGGAAAATCGAAAAATCGAAAAGATTCATCTTGAAAAACTGAGAAATCGAGAAGTTGAAATCGAAAAATTCAAACATCAGAAGATTGAGAAGTCGAAAAGTCGAAAAATCGAAAAATTGAGAAATGGAAGTGGCTAAAGATCGAAACATTGAAAATTCTGTATTTCAAAATTTTAACTTAAAAAAAAACGATAAACCAAAATGTAGAATATCGAGAAACTGAAAAATAAAGTCCAAAAATTGAAAAACCGGAAAATCTAAAAATGGGAAGCCAAAAATGGTAAGATTGAGAAATCGAAGCAACAAAGAAGTGAAAAATCTAAAATTTAAAAATTCGAAAAATTGAAAATTAAAAAAATCGAGAAGTTAAAACACCAACGCATCGAAAAATCAAAAAATTGATAAATCTAAAAGTGTAATATTTAAAAAATCGCAAAATGTTTAAAATTTGAATAATTAAACAATCAAAAAAACATAAAGTCGAAAAATTAAAAAATCCATTAATCGAGAGATTGAGAAATCGAAAAATCCAAAAATCGTGAAATCGAAACATCAAAAAATCGAGAAGTCGAAAAGTCGAAAAATCGAAAAATTGAGAAATAGAAGTGGCAATAAATCGAAAAATGGGAAAAATCAAAACTGAAAAATTCCAGCTTAAAAAACTGATAAACCAAAACGTGGAAAACCGAAACACTGAAAAATTAATTCCAAAAATATTTAAAAACCGGAAAATCTAAAAACGAGAAGTTAAGGAAATCGTTAACTCGAAAAGTGAAAAATCGAAATATCGATTAACTGAAAAATTAATTCCGAAAAATTGAAAAATCGCAAAATCTAAAACGAGGGGGAGATAAATACATATATTTACTTATCGCCAATAATGTATGGTAGTTTCGATTCTTTTGTGTGAAATAAACCCATTATTATTATTATTATTACTAAATTATTTGTACCGATTTTTCGGCAAGTGTCTATCAAAACTTTCCACCCACTCTGCACTCGCTTTTCGCCGCCTCTTTCTCATTTAAATACTGTACTGTGCGATACGCGATTTTCCATTGTTGCACGGAAATTTACTTAAGTACAAGACATCAGCATTGCCGTAGCTAAGGCACGTTATGCACTTAAAATCCGAGAAGACGGCTGATTCTACACGTAAAATTAATTTCCGCTGCAGCCTGACGTCATTTAGCTTAATACGTTTTTTTTTGTGTGAAGAACTAACGTGGTTGAGGGTGGCGTCTTTCGTTCGATTTGTCTGCCTCAACAGACGACCAATTAAACAACGACTAACCGAAATTAAATTTCTGGAGGACTCGCGTCAAAGTAATCGGTTCCATAGTTTCAATTAGAACCACCGTGACTTCGAACGCAGCCGGTACGCTTTCGCCCTGTATATCATTACATAAATCGTTCTCAAGTCGCATTCCCCGCCACGGCCGCCGATAAATCCTCGTCCGGCGACGTTCCTCTCTATTTACGTTTTACTTTTTGCGTTTAATTTTCAGCTTTAATGTTATTATAAGAGAGTGCGAAAGGTGGTGTCTGAAAGCGCCAGATTTATCGTCGTTAACCGCACGAGTTATGTCCAAAAATAAAAATTAAAAATGTATCTACCGGACGACGTTTTCGGGAAACTCTCGCTCGTTTTCACGTCCCACGTCTCGTCGACGGTCCTGGATTTGCTCTTGCGTCTGACGGTCCAGCGGCGGTAGTCGGCTTCGGACACCCCTTGCTTTCTGGCCTCTTCGAGGACGATCTAGTGATGAAAAATAGAATAAGTAAGTGGAAGCGGATTAGCACTACCTTGTCGAAATTGAGCAAAAAGCCCCACTTGCGGTTCCACTCGCGACGAGCTTTCTCCTCGAGAAAGACTTGAGCTTTCCTGGAAAACACAAAAGTGTGAGTTTTACCCCGAGGTGTGGTTTTTCTGCGTACAAGACTTCGTTGCGTTTGACTAAATCCAGCGAGTTGTTTTTTTGGTTGTTGGACGGGATGTTGGCCATGGTGGGTTTTTGGGTTTCGGGGTGTTTGGTCGATAGAAAGCTGCGCGTGTGCACAGACACAGAATTAAATCTAATAAGTAGAGAGCGGATTTATAAGCACAAAAAAATTAAGAATAAGCGCTAGACGAGGTATAATATTTTTTTGGTTTTTTGTATGAAAAAATGATATTAATATAGATGTATCATACATCAAACTGCAGATTTTTTCATATTCTAGAGCGCAGAGACCAGTTCAATCAATTAAAAAAATATGGCTGAGAAATATCGTAAAAAAACACCATTGTATGTTTTCTTTTCAAGTTTTTTGAGTCATAACCATCATAGAATCGCTTGAAAATGCGCACATGGATAAAACATCACTTTTTACAGGGCGCAGAGTCATAAAATGTTTGTTAGTGGTACAATTTGTTTAAATAATAATGTGTTTATTAAAATCAAAATATATCACAAATTAATGCAAAATACGTAGAATAATTTTAACAGGAATATCAGAGGAAAATTAATGATCTACTGGTTAGCAGAATTTTTAATAAAAACTAACAATTATTGAAAAAAATGGGTATCAATTCGACAGAATTTGAGCAGTTAGTTCAGTACTTTGCCGATAGGAGCGCCACTAAAATTTACGGAAGCGACTTTCCAGGTAAAACCCTTATCGCTTGCTCTACCATAAGCTGATTGTTAGAGTTCTCGACTGATTTTTCTAATTTATGGCAAGGAACTCAGTTTTATAACAAGCCGCCAGGACCGGCCGTAGTAATCTATTGTTAAGGAAATTAACTTTTACGCAATGAGGTACTATCATAAAACCGAATTAAAACTGGGGAACTATAATATTTTTACTCCACTCAGGATCCTGATTCCTGAATTCAATACACATGATTACTAAAAATTCATTGTAATATTATTGTTAATATATATTTTGCTTTGTTAATTAATAAAACTAATAAACATATTTATAATAATAATAAAAAATATATAAAATACAGCTTTTGTTTAACACGTATAAGTAGCTAAGTGTATCTACTACTTATCCCAGAAAGGAGGTGTTTTAAAAAATCCCTACGCCCAGTAACTTCTCCCTTCATTGTTTACTCGAAAAAAGTACTCGTATATGTTTTCATTTGCCGAGAGATCATTTTCAAAATGTATTTATAATAAAAATCTGCAAGTCTTGGTGATGAAAAATGTACTCCTAATAAATTATTAAAGTACATAAAAAATAGAAACAAATTTTATTTATTTTTAAAAAATCTCTCGTTCCTCTTTCTTATTGAATCAATTATTTTCGGTGACAAATTTAATCTTTGCATACTTCAGCGTAGTTAGTGAACTCGTTGTGACCACTGAAATATACAAAGAGTAAATTTTGAAATGGAATGAAAGTCGAAGAATACTTTCAAAGCCACGATCAAAATGTATTTGCTTATCTTCGCCAAAAAATGCATGACGTCATCGTAAAATTTGTAATGATGAGTCTATACCTCTGATTTATCATTGCAGTAATATTTTTTAGATTTACTTATACAGCCTGTCTCAAAAAAAGGTCACTTCGATTTTCGATTTTTCGTTTTATCGACCAACAGTTTCATCGAATTAGATTTTTCAGTTTCCATTTTTCTATCAACTTTTCGATTTTATTACTTTCTAATTTTCTGATTTTTCAAATTTGCGGTATTTTGATTTTTCGAGTTTTCAGTTTTTTCGTTTTTCGATTTTTTAATTTTTCGTTTTTTTGATTTTTCGATGTTTCGATCTTTTAATTTACCATTCTTTCAATTTTCGATTTTTCGTCTTTCCATTTTTAGATTTTTCGATTTTTCTGTTCGTCAGTTTTTAGACTTCGCAATTTTTTTGCATTTTTCGATTATATTTCACTTTCCGATTTTGTTGATTTTTGAATTCTCGATTTTACGTTTTTAATTCTTCGATTTCCGATTTTTCTATTTTCCGGTTTTTTAATTCTTCTATTGTCGATTTTTCGATTTTCCATTAATCATCGATTTTTCGGTTGTTTTATTTTTCGACCTTCGATTTTTCAACTTTCGATTATTGGATTTTCCATTTTCTGATTTTACGACTTTTCGATTTGCGATTTTTCGATTTTCGTTTTTCCACTTTTGTGGTTTTTCGATTTTTCTGTTTGTTTCAGTTTTTATAGTTCTGCAATTAGCAGCTTTTAGATTTCAGTTTTGTTACTTACCGATTTTCCACTTTTCGATTTTTTGATTTTTTTCGATCGTCGTTTTTTCGATTTTTTGATTTTTCAATTTTTAGGCCTTGTAATTTTTTTACTTTTCGCTTTTTCGAGTATTTGTTTCATCGAATTTTCGAGTTTTCGATTTTCGATTTTTCGGTTTTTCCATTTTCCGATTTTCGCTTTTTCGATTTTCCATGTTTATTAGATATTTTTCGATTTTTTTTATGTTTCGATTGTTCTGTTCGTCAGTTTTGAGACTTTACAATTTTTACTTTTCCACTTTTCTATTATTTTATATTTTAGTTTCGGATTATTCGATTTTTGAATTTTCGTTTCTTTTTTTTCATTTTTCGATTTCCGATTTTTTAATTTTTCGATTTTTCGGTTTTTTAATTTGTCGATTCTCGATATTCCGATTTTCGATTTTGCGATTTTCCAATCTTCGATTTTTCAATTTCCAGTTTTCGATTTTCAACTTTTTGATTTTACGATTTTTCGGTTTTTCTGTTCGTCAGTTTTTGGGCTTTGCAATTTGTTTACTTTTCGATTTTTCGATATTTTTTTTCCAGTTTTTTGATTTTTGAATTGTCGACTTTTAGAGTTTTCAATATTATGAATTTTCGAATTTTCGGTTTTCCTATTTTTCGATTTTTGATTTTTCCATTTTTCGGTTTTTTGATTTTTCAATTCTCGGTTTTTCAATCCTGCAAATTTTCGATTTTTCAGATTTGTGAATTTCCAGTTTTTCGATCGACCTACGTATTAGATTCTTTGAATTTTCGATTTTCGGTTTTTCCATTTTTAGATTTTTGATTTTCCAGTTTTGTATTTTCAGATTTTCTGTTTTTCGCATATCTGATTTATCAAATTTTCGATTTTTCGGATTTTCGATTTTTCGATATTTGATTTTCGAATTTTCGATTGTTCAGTTTTCCATTTTTCTGCTTTTAGACTTCAATTTTTTTACTTTTCGATTTTCCAAATTTTCGAGTTTCAATTTTCAAATTTTTGATTTTTCGATTTTCTTTTTAAATCCGAATTTTTCGGTTTTGATTTTTCGATTTTCAACTTTTTGATTTTACGATTTTTCGATTTTTCTGTTCGTCAGTTTTTGGGCTTTGCAATTTGTTTACTTTTCGATTTTTCGATATTTTTTTTCCAGTTTTTTGATTTTTGAGTTGTCGACTTTTAGAGTTTTCAATATTATGAATTTTCGAATTTTCGGTTTTCTTATTTTTCGACTTTTGATTTTTCCATTTATCGGTTTTTTGATTTTTCAATTCTCGGTTTTTCAATCTTGCAAATTTTCGATTTTTCAGATTTGTGAATTTCCAGTTTTTCGATCGACCTACGTATTAGATTCATTGAATTTTCGATTTTCGGTTTTTCCATTTTTAGATTTTTGATTTTCCAGTTTTGTATTTTCAGATTTTCTGTTTTTCTGTTTATCAAATTTTCGATTTTTCGGCTTTTCGAATTTTCGATATTTGATTTTCGAATTTTCGATTGTTCAGTTTTCCATTTTTCAGCTTTTAGACTTCAATTTTTTTACTTTTCGATTTTCCAAATTTTCGAGTTTCAATTTTCAAATTTTTGATTTTTCGATTTTCTTTTTAAATCCGAATTTTTCGGTTTTGATTTTTCGATTTTCAACTTTTTGATTTTACGATTTTTCGATTTTTCTGTTCGTCAATTTTTGGGCTTTGCAATTTGTTTACTTTTCGATTTTTCGATATTTTTTTTCCAGTTTTTTGATTTTTGAATTGTCGACTTTTAGAGTTTTCAATATTATGAATTTTCGAATTTTCAGTTTTCCTATTTTTCGATTTTTGATTTTTCCATTTTTCGGTTTTTTGATTTTTCAATTCTCGGTTTTTCAATCCTGCAAATTTTCGATTTTTCAGATTTGTGAATTTCCAGGTTTTCGATCGACCTACGTATTACATTCATTGAATTTTCGATTTTCGGTTTTTCCATTTTTAGATTTTTGATTTTCCAGTTTTGTGTTTTCAGATTTTCTGTTTTTCGCATATCTGATTTATCAAATTTTCGATTTTTCGGCTTTTCGAATTTTCGATATTTGATTTTCGAATTTTCGATTGTTCAGTTTTCCATTTTTCAGCTTTTAGACTTCAATTTTTTTACTTTTCGATTTTCCTAATTTTCGAGTTTCAATTTTCAGATTTTTGATTTTTCGATTTTCTTTCTAAATCCGAATTTTTCAGTTTTGATTTTTCGAATTTTTGATTTTTAATTTTTCCATTCTTCGGTTTTTAGACTTCAATCTTCTTTCTTTTAAATTTTTCGATATTCTATTTTTCGCTTTTCAGAATTTTCGATTTTCAGTTTTCAGACTTTCGATGATTAGAATTTTGGATCTTTCAGTTTTATGATTTTTCGATTTTTAGAAAATTTGAGTAGTCGAATTTTCGATTTTTCAATTCATCGGTTTTTCTATGTTCAATTTTTCAATTTAAATTTTGCGATTTTTAATTTGTCCATTGTCGATTTTTAGAATTTTCGGTTTTTCAATTTTTCCATTCTCAACTGTTAGACTTCAATTTTGTTACTTTCCGATTTTTTGGTTTTCGATTTTCCAATTTTCAGAATTTCCAAGTTTCTTTATTCAGATTTTCGATTTTCCACTTTTTCGATTTTAGATTGTTCGAATTTTTGTTTTTCCAATTTTTTGCTTTTTCGATTTTTCTGTTCGTTTCAGTTTTTAGGCTTTGCATTTTTTTTTTACTTTATATATTTTGATTATTTTAATTTCCGATTTTTTTTTTGTTTTTCATTTTTTTAATTTTCAAT